TTGTTTTCTTGACATATCCTCGTAGTACTCGTCACTACGGAAGCGTGGGCGTAGACGGTTCGTGATTTGGAGTTATAACGAAAAAGATTTTAAAGTTTAAAGTTTGGGCAATTTATGAATTTTATTATAAAAATTTTGGTGTGCCATTTGGATGGCCCAGATTAAAGAAAATCTAAAATGGATGGCTTGGATGTAAGGGAAAGAAAATAAAAATAAAAAGATGAAGGAAGGCTTTGTGTGTGTGTGTGTGCGCGCGCGCGTGACTGGTGAAGAAAAAGAAGAAGAAGAGATTGGGCACAGCTGCCCAACCAGAGGAAGAGAGCAGGAGCTTCGGGAAAGAAATGAGAGAGAGCTAGGCAAATGGAGAGAAGAGAGAGAGAAGCCCGGCCAATCGGAATGGAGGAAAGGAGGAAAGGAGAGAGAGAGTGGCGCGGGGGATCGACTGGATCCCCTTGGCCCGTTCTTGACCCGGTCGGCACCCATGCCAATTTTCAATGATTTTCACCCATTTTTCCGGCGAATTGCTTCAAGAAACCTCATGGGAAACACTCTATCCATTCCATCTCAAAATTGGAGAGATTTGGCTTTGAAAATGGAGAAAATCGCAAGAAGGGGGTGCGGCGGCTTTGGCTTCGAATCACCCAATCTCGAAGCAATTACTTCCAATTGTTACCACCCATAGCATCCTATTGAGGCCTTGAACAAAGCCCAAGCATTGGTTGGGACGGCGGAGTTGATTTGAGGACGAATTGGAACTCACCCATTTCTAGGGTTCTTCACGGGTTTGATGGAATTGGAGCCTTTCCAGGCCAAATTGGCCTTGGCCACAAGTATAAAGTTTATTCTACTCATTGAGATCTTCATTTCTGTAAATTTTGGTAATTTTTGGAAATAGTTGGATTTTCCTGCGAGCCAAGGCGCCCGACCACCACCTGCAGCAGCCCGTGCGGCGGTGCGTGGCCAATGGCCCACCAATGTCATTCTTAGCATGTGTTTAATGTTCTAGGTTCAGTTTTGATAATTGATTGACGTAAATTGAGTAATTGAACCTAAGTTCGTTACAATTCGTGGTTAGGTGAAAATGTGAATTGACGATCCGACCGTTGGATCGTCACCAAACATTGATATGTTGTAATACGTAATATTTGAGGATTATAGGAACTTACGGATTGGGAATCCGATTTACGGATCTTCCAGAATTGGAGTTGTAAGTTCATAAAATAGAATGTTAACCGTCACTTGGTTTTGACAATTGACGGAGATCCGATCGTTGGATGGTAAGGAAATTTTAAGATGTTGTTCTAGAGATATATTGTGGACCTCTGGAAGTTATGGATTGGAAATCTGAGTTGCAGATCTTCCAGATCGAACTACGTAGTGACGTGTTTTATATAAGTTATATATTCCATCGATATGATTTCTGAGGTTTGATTTGATGATTGTTCTAGGCGCCGATCGTCATGACGTCTTGATGTGTTGTGCTAGGTAGTTGTAGGGCGAACTCCAGGTGAGTGGGCAGTTATTTTCGGTTTATACCTATATACTACTGATATTTCCCAGAAATTGAATTTAAACGAAGGTATGTTTGCCATGCATACATAATATATGAATTATATGAATTAGTATTTGATGCATATATATGAAATGGTGCTGTGGACGCACATGTGAGTATCAGGTGAGTTTTATGTGTTCATGTGAATTATTAATGATATGAATTGTGTTGAGAGCTCATAACCTACACCCCTGGTGTTAGTGCTTATATTATTCACCCCGCACCATACACTCACCTTGGATCCAAGTAGGTGCATGTCGTACAGACCACGAGAGGTGGTTCCGACTTGTAGGTGACTTTAGATTATTATACAGATGTTGATGAGAGAAGCACTAGAGCATATTCTTACACCGTTCTTGTCGTACAAACTACTTCAGGTAGTTCCAATTTATGTGTAGAGTAGTGTCGTACAGGTCACAGTGGTGACTCCGATTGGATTGGATATTGAGCTATAGAATTAACCGTACAAGACAGCTGCATGGTCTCTAGTTAATTCCTTATTTCACCTGTTATATTGATGCATCTTTATCATGTTTTGAAGCATAGCATGGCATATTTCTTGAAAAGTGTTAAAGACTTGTGATTTGGGTTATTTACTGTTATATATGGTTATATATATACTATTTTTCTTGGAAAATATACGGGTATTACAGCGAGGGGTTATCGTTTTGATAATGAGATGATTTTTGAAAAACCTTGTTTTACTGACCCACTCAACTCTGTTTTGCGCCCCTCCAGGTTCAAGATAGCAGAGCTTTGGTGGCCACGAGGAATTCAACGGTGTTCTGATAGAATTCACAAAAGTAGTATTCACCCTCGGGTGTTACCTCTTAGTAATTGTATCTTTAAAGCTTCCGAACTGTGCAAATGGTTATGTCACTGTCACGTGACGGCCAGCATGCCCTCCTGCGGGACGGGGTGTGTCATTTAAAAACTAGTGGAGTTCTTTGAAATACAGTGAAATTTTTTGTCTCTATATATAAAGCTCCAAAAAAATTAAATCAAACCAAATGATGTGATTATTTATGATTGAATTATTACATAAGTGCTATTAATATGCTTATTTTCTATTAGCAATACATAATTTAATCTAAAATTTTGATCTATTTAGCATTACCCAAAAGAAAAATTGGAGACTCTTATTTAAAAGTTCAATTATTAGGGACTCTTATTTTGGCCCTACTTAAATAAACCATTGTTTTTTTTCTTAGGATGGAAAATTAAAAGGGCAGTTATAAAAACAAATTTGAAAAGATTATTATTATTTTTTAGTAAGGGAATTGTTATTGGCACTTCAAAAATTTCATTTTGCACTCCAAATTTTCTACAATTAGAAAAAAAAAATACAATTGTAAGGAATATAAAATAAAATTTTTGAAGTGCTAATAATAATTTTCTTTAATAAAACAATATTATTTAATGCGTGGTTGGCAAGGAAAGAGACTTGAGCAAGGAAATTCACTTCCTTTCCCATATTTGATAAGTCTGTTCTTCGGAAGAGGTAAAACCAAACCCTCCACGCTATGAGTTCTTTTCCCCTTCTTTTCCCAAAGCAGGTTTCGTCGATTGTTACAAGAGTTGTTTTTTTTTTAATGGATTTGGATGCCATCTAGATCCAAATTGTGAGGATCCTAGAGATCTTCACATCTTAATAATTCATCGTGTATCGTACGGTCAGAAATTATTTAATTTTTTTATTTAAAATTAAACACAAATAGTACCTAAAGAAAACTGTTTGCATGATGTATGATGAACAACTATGATGTAGGGATTTTTAAGATCCTCACAAAATGGATCCAGAGAAAATTCTCTTCCATTTTTTATATCATATCTCGTCAACAAACACCATCCAATTGGAATTGGACCCTCTCCGAGGCAAAGCCTCGGGATCCTCCTGACCCATTAAATTGGATTTTGATCCAACAACTATAATTATTATAACTTTTAGAGATGCCCCCTGTTTATAGTCGTTGGATCAAAATTCAACGGTTCATGTTATTGGGTCAGGAGAATCCCGAGGATTTGCCTCGGAGAGGATCCAATTCCCATCCAATTGACTGCGCGAATGATTGAATTTTTTTCTTCTTTTCTCCATTTCTATTTTTGTTTTAAATTAAAAAAATTGGGGATAGTTTAGGAATTACAGTTGGTTTTTTGCATTTTTTTATGGTGGGCCGCAATATAGGGTGAGAGAAAAAACATAGGGAGTTTTAATGAAATACTCACGGTACTGTTCACTTTTAACAAAAAATCACATTTTTATTTTTTCCTGGTAATATTCACTACACATTTATTTGTCATTTTTCATTAAAACAAAAGTTTTTTTTTGAACTTTTCGTTAGTTTTCCTAAAAACATAAGACAAATGAGTGGTTTAACCCTCTTAATTAATTATTCAAAATAGTTTTTATTGAGGTAAATTATTCAAAATGTTTGAATGACTATTTTAACCTTAACTAATAAATTTTAACATTTTGAAATTCTAATTAAGGTCGTACCCAGTGCACAAGGCTCCCGCTTTACGCAGGGTCTGGAAGAGGTGAATGTCGGTTAGCCTTACCCCCATTTATGAAGAGGCTGCTCCCAAGAAATTCTAATTAAGGGAAGGGAAAAATTTGATATTTCATTATTTGGTATGTTTTGCCAATTTTTCCTTTCCCCTTCAACATTGTTACATTTGACGTTGAGCAATTTTGGTTGGAGCAGGATTCTCTCAATTCTTCTCATACTTTGTTTTTTGTCTTATTGTCTTTATATAAATAAAAAATCAATATAAGATGTTGATGTGATTTAATTGTAGCCGTTCAAGTAGGAGGAGAGAAAATTGGAGATAGATTAAGAGAGGAGAGAATCCTCCTCCATTTTGATTGTTTAGTTTGCGGATCCATTGCGTTTTTGTAAGATCTATGTGGGTAGTTACTATGGAACCTCCCACTAAACTCAGAACATGTGATAAAATGAATTGCGTTTAGTCTACTCCACATCAATTCTGCATCAGCCAAGCTAATGATTTTCGTGACCAATTTGGCAAAATAACACAACATGAGACACAAATAAATGTATAGGGGCAAAGTCACACAACAGCAAGTTTAAGGGGCAAAATGAAATTTTAATCAAAAGCACAAAAGGGAATACGAACAAATAAGCTTTTTACTTTTATACAAAACAACATTTGGGATTTTTTTGGGGGTGGGGGTCTTCGGCTAGATCTGATCCAGAAACAACGTATGCTTATAAATAACTTTTAATGTAGATGTAAAAGTGTAGAACTATTTGAGTTAAAAGTATCTTGCGTCAACTCAACTGAAGTAATTCAGTTCATGTTCAAAATATCCTCAGTTTACTGTTAATTTATTCAATGCAGAGTTTACGCTGTCCATTTTTGTTAAAATTGTAATTTTCACTCGTTCAACATTAATAAGGAAGAAAGATCAATAAACAACACCAGAACATTTTTTTTCATTGCTATACTGCTACTTTGTACATTTACCATGACAGTTTTGAAATCCCAAAAAAAATTAGGACATATGCATAAAACAAATACACAAAAGGTTCAACTATACTTTTATTTTATGTGTAGAAATGCATTTAGTCGATCACCAGCTAAAGCTGATTGACTCGAAATGCAGATTTTCTGCCAAACCTGATGAACAAATAGTTGCAACTTCATGCCTCAATGTCTTTGGACCACTCGCAAGAACTCCAATACTTGATCCGTTGCACTCAAATATCAACTCTGCAAAACCAAAATTAAAATAAAGCAAATGTGGGTTAGGCTAATTGGCCTGGACAGTGTGCCACTTCCTACATCCAAATTCGAGCCCCCTTGAGGTCTGGTTTTCTTTTTGAGTATGTAAGTGTGACAGTAAAATGACTTACTCTTCAGGTCTGGTCTTCCACCATAGTGCACACTTGTTGCTTGTGCAAGAGACTGTTGGGGAAGGCTTTCCAACTCCCTACCAGCATTGTAAAACAGTGACTGTGGTGTCCCCATTGGTGATGGCCCTTCCATGCTCTGAATCTGCTTATTTTCCATAGCATTCTTTTTCTTTTTCTTGTTCCATAAAACTGCTCCACTAGCTGTTGAGGCTATAGCAACACATGTAACCAACATGTTAAGCACAGCTCTTATAGAATACGAAAATATCTTGTTCGAATTGTGATCAATGGGGTAAATGTAGTATCGTGTAATAATCCCAATCAAGATGAGGAACATGATGAAGGAAGATGTGATGATTAAGGCTAGCCAGAGCCAGTTATTTGTTCCCAAAATTGGTGATACAGGTGCATCTGTTGCATTTGGTTTGAACCATATGGATCGAACGGGCTTCAAGCCATCTGTTTTTGGTTCTGTCTCTCTTGTCACATAGGCCTGGATTTGGAGGTTCAGGTTGGACATGTCGATTGAGGTGCTGAACATTGGAAGAATGAGGTCTAGCATGGTGAGGTCCAATGAGTTTTTGAATGCACAAATTAGGATCACGTTCGGAACTTTGCATTTGAATGATGTGCTCAGCAGGAGGAGCTCCCGGATTATGGATATGAATGGGGTAATGCCGCTGCCTCCACTCACCATCACAAGGGTGTCATGCCTACAGAAAAGATCTCATTCAATAACTTTGTACTCGTTAATATTTGTAAAAGACCGAAATTTAGAAAGTAGAATTAGGGAATTATTTGTTTCGTTGTGTTACAAACCTTAAAAACTGGGTTGAAGCAGGTCCATAAGGCCCTTCTACGGCGACCTCAATCTGATCGGTTGGAAAAGGGGATGAAACCATTTGACAAAGCTTCTTTGTCCAACTTCCTTCACTTTTGACAACGGTGCTGATCATTTCTGGTTCCAAACTACTGTTGGAAGTAATAGTGAAAGGATGCCACTGCATCTTGGAAATACTAGGTACATTTATGAACATGACGCTTGTTGGATTATATTTCAGGCCTAACCATATAAAAGAACATGGGGAAAACGTGACTAAGTAGACATAAGAAATCATATTATTCATTGTAAGCATATCTGTGTGTTATTCTGGACTACAAAGTCAAATAAAAATCTTCGTTCTCTGGCAATATAACATGTTAGACTTTTTGTTTACATTTTTGCATAAGTACTTCAAAAGTGTTACCTGGGGTCTTGGCCAAGTTGAGCTCTATGGTTTCGCCTGGTAAAACACGCGCGGAGACTAATCGCACTCTTGTTTGGGATTGTAAGAATCTCAAGAAACGATCGACCAGGAAGAGGTAGAAACCAGGGAGCATAATGCAAGTATAGGTAATGCCAACGTGAAGGATAAAGAAGATCACGAAGAGGATGTAAAGATAATGAGTGTAGAAGAAGAGCTCAAACATTTGACGCCTGATGCGAGGGATGGTAGTTGCCCACATGATCAGTCCAGGGAGCAAAGACAGCTCCCCAGCTAGGTTTGATACGCCAATTTTATCCCATCTTATCATCTGCATTAAAACAAAACAGATCACAACACCTTAGTGATGGTCAAGAACATGTATGTAATGTAGAAAAGAGAAGTACTGCAAAAGGAGAAAAACATAGGTCCATAGTACATTAATCATTTCTCTTTCTCTTTCTCTTTTACTTTATTTTATTTACAACTTTTTATGAGCAAAACCATTTACCACAGCTCTTGGGCGCATGGACAAAGTCATACCACCATTCTTTAACGGTTGTGATATTCACACATTCCTTTTTATTTTTCACACATTTTTTTAATTTTCGGTCGTTAAATCGGATAAATTGAAGAAAATCAAGGGACATAAATTAACAAGAGGTATGTGAGAAGTAAAAAAATAGTGTGTGGATAGCACACCCCTTCTTTAATCTTATAAACCAGTTTGGTATCACTTTCGCGTCCAAGCATTTTGGTCAACCTTCATTCTCATTTGAATACTAGGACAATATATTTGTAGTGAGTTTGATACTTAGTTGAAGGTTTTATTTTTTATTTTTTTATTTTTTTTGTGATAGGACAATTTTGTTGTTGATAAATTAACTCGTCATAAAAATACGTTTGTAAAGATCCGTCCAAGAAAAAAGGAATTGGCTACAGTATTTATAAAAACTATTGGGTACTAAGTGAAAGTCAATCTTATAAAAATGCATCGAAATTATTTACATGAGACAATTTAAAGGGCTTAATCACATTAATATCTTAAACGAGTCTCACTTGACTACTTCAAACTCAATTATGTTTCATTTTGCCATTTACCATCAAAATCCATTAATAAATCAGTCTGTTTACTTGGTATAGATTAATACTATCCTGACCATTTCAAATCAAAATTAATATTCCAAATAAGAAACAAATAAACTCTAGCAAAAAAGGTTACTTGGCACAAATCTCACTTAGAATCAAAATTTTCAATTTCAATTTTCTCAAAAAGAAAAAGAAAACAACTAAGTGAATATAGACTATATAGTGTGAACAAATTACCTGGGAAATTTGATTAGTAGCAGCCCAGTAGATGATGTAACAAAGGCCATGAGCCGTGAAGAGTGTCATGCCTAAGTGTCCAAGCCATATATGGTACTTGATGCTACCTTCAGAAGTGAGACCAAACAGTGCCAGAACCGAAGAGCCACGTGCCACAGGAAAGAAGAGAACGGCGAGGCATATGTTCCCCACGAGCCCTAGCATCAATGCTGCACTCTCCAATTTAGGTTTCCATCTGGCAACATTATCACAAAAAAAAAAAAAAAGTTAATCCTAATTAAATGTACTATTTTATTTAATTAATGTCAAGTTTTACCACGATTCCGGATTAAAAAAGGCACCTGCACATTTTTTTTTTCTCTCTCTCGGTATGTTTGTATTTGTTTTTAGTCTTTGACTAGAAAAAATAAATATTAAAAGCGCACCAATGAATAAAATAAACATAAGTACGTAAAAAGAGAATAATTTGTGCTTTAATCCGTTCCTTCTAGTTTAGATCTTGGCACTCCATTTTTTTTTTTTTGAACAATCGTTATTATTTACATTAAGGGAAGGATGTGAGCTTAGCCTTAGTGTAGATTGGGGCTCCAAATTGTTCTTTATAATTTTCAAGGGCTTTAGATGGGGGGAGGGGTGCATAGTTCATAGCTGTAGGAGTGCGACAGAAGCTAGGGTATTAGTACATTGATCTTACATATGTTCATCGGGGTGCTTTGCTGCTGAGATTTTAGCAAAACTGCTCTGCAAATACATTGAAAATGACCAAATCAGGAGTGCAACGAACATGGCGAACAAGGCCAGCTCTATCCCAGAAACAATTCCTAAGGGGCCTTTTACCAAAATAGGCTGTTTCCATACTGCAAACCGCTTTTTCTTTCTGTCATTGCTTCCGCTAATAATCGAAATCCAACAACAAAAAAAACATTATGCCGATTTTCTTTCGTCAATAAATCATTGTTTATGTTGTGAGACTGTGAATATGAATTACACATTTTGACAAAAGTCAATAATCTAATCTCCAATTCACAGTCTAACAATATAAACATCTTCTGATAAAAAATAATTTCCTACTAATTCACTTATGTCACGCACCTTTCCATTTTACGATCATTCAACTGGTTTCCCAGGTGAAGATAGATACAACCCAACACCGCAATGAACAAAATGGGAAATGTGTACACCAGAAGATTTGCACCTGCTTATATAAATACAAAACAAATAATTAGTGTATAATATCGCTTGTAATAAAAAAAAATATACATAAAATAATCAGAAAACCTTTAACTAAGTCCTTCAAAAAAAATTTAATCAAGTTAATCAATTATTTGAACCTGCTGATCCCAAAAAGGTACTTGAGTTAGCCTTTCGTCTGATTTGAGGTCGCCAAATCTGCTTATAAGTGTTGGTAGGCATCATGAACCAAATAAAAAGAGTGCCCAAAAACACAACAAATACTGCAAAAAGCCTTATTGCTCCCCTCACAATACGAATTCCTTCATGGGAAGGAGATGAACTTTTCACAATCTGCACTGCATCCATCTCTCTGCAATTCTCTCACTAATTTTTTTTTATTTTTATGGGGTATATTCTTTCAGTGACTTTAATTGAGAATATTGTTTACGGAATGTAATTGTAGGAGGGAATAAATTATTTTTATATAGTAAATAATAAAGGAGTAGTTTTCCCAAAAAAATAATAATAATAAAGGAGTATAGAATCTATGCTTTGGATTTGTTGGCACTATGGCACTTGTCAATTTGGAGTGGCTGATGACAAAAGCTGATTTTCAAGTCAACCACACACATGCAAAGATGAAGCAACATTTTTATGATGATTCATTGCATGATAAAGATTATTATCCGAAAAAGTTTTTGGGACGGGATATTAGTATTATTAATTTATATGCTATATATAATATAAATAGACGTTAATTTACATTTTTTAAGATAAGATTAATAAGTAAAACATAAAACGCTACGTGATAATATTATGCTTGAAAGCTTGTTTATTTTTGAGGTTAGAATAAGATAAGATGTGGTAGAAAGTTTGTGGCCACGTGACTTGTTGCAATATTCGTAGGCAAGCTTGTGGCTTATGTGTGTGCGGCTTGCATGCTAAATAAATGGCAACTATATTTACCTCGTGGATTAAACATCCCTAAACTGTTGACTCTGTCTTGTTACACACAAAATCTGGGCGGATCAATGCGGTTATGAAGTTTCTTCTTTATACACTTTAATTTTCCATGTTAATAGAAATTTTACTTTTTACCTTTTCTATGTCAAGAAAATCAGATCATGAATAGTAACAAAAGTTATACAAATCTTCTATTTTAAGGAGCTTTATTAAAAAAAGATCAAGGACCGAACTCTTACCGTAAATGTAGGAAGTACCATAATATTGAAGCTATAAACTCAAGAGTGGTGATATATTTATCATCTATTTGTATATTCCCTCTAATAAAGATAGGGTCCACATATACATATAAATAGATGGAAAGAATATACAACAACAACAACAACAAAGCATTTTTCCACTAAATGGGGTTGGCTAAAATAGATGGTAAGAATATCATTTTTGTAAACCCAATCGACCTAGTGCTTATTTGGCAAGTGCTTTTAAATGACTGAAAATATTTTTAGAGAAAATGTTTTTGTGTTTCAAAAGCAGGAAGTACATAAAGTGCTTTTCTAAAATTAACTTGTATTTTTATTGAGGTTTGATTCCAAATTTTTTTTTTATATATCTAAAAACACTTTTAGTCATTTAAAAACACTTGTCAAACGAGCCCCTGTATGTATTTACACCCAAACTCATACCGTAAACGCGAAAGCATGTACCTTACCACTAAAGCTATAAACCCATCGACCTACATATGTTTAGTCCTCTAAACCCTACGTAGAAGAGTTTCATTTTTCTCATATTTATTAAGGGCCAAATCTTAACTCCGCCGTGTAAGTTTATCTTACATTGCCGGTCCCAAGCCCGGATAAAGGAGGAGGGGGAGGGCGTCAGGTAGTCGACAGCCGGCACTCCATGATTACGACGAATCCTTATGAAAATGAATCAAGAACGAAATCGCGCTAAAGCTAGGGCGTCACCCGTAAGTGGCGCGCTGTGTGGCCCGAGCACAGTGATAAGTGAGCAAGGGTCGTTGTATCTCCATCGGCACCCGGATGCAGTGTTAAATGAGCAAGGGGGCTATAGAAACTTCTTTTCGAACGACTCCACTCAAAGTTGTTTGGGAGATTGTAATAGGACAAGAACTTATCAATGTGATTAGTGCGTACGCACCTCAAGTAGGGTTGGATACGAGTTCGAAGGAGAAATTTCGGGAAGACCTTGGAGACTTGGTGCAAGGAATTGCTCAGATGGAGAAGTTATTTATAGGATGAGATTTAAATGGACACGTGGGCAGGGAGACAAGCAACTATGGAGGTTTTCATGGTGGCCATGGTTTTGGGGAGAGAAACGAGGATGGGGAAGCTATCTTGGATTTTGCAATGGCATATGATCTCTTCTTAGCCAACACCTTCTTTAAGAAGAGAGAAGAACATGGGATCACCTACAAGAGTGGGTCGTCAAAAACACAAATAGATTTTCTTCTAATGAGGAAAGGGGATCGTATAACTTGTAAGGATTGCAAAGTTATACCAGGAGAGAGCGTGGCTAATCAACATCGCTTGTTGGTGATGGATGTACATATCAAAAGAGTGAGAAAAAAGAACAAGACTTGGAAGTGCCCAAGGACTAGATGGTGGAATCTAAAAGAAGAAAAACAAGCCATTTTCAAAGAGAAAGTAATCACCTAGTGTGTGTGGGATAGAGAGGGGGAAGCTAACCAAATGTAGGATTCCATGGCTAGTTGTATCCGAAAAGTAGCAAAAGAGGTATTAGGAGAGTCCAAGGGCTTTGCCCCACACCAAAAGGAATCTTGGTGGTGGAATGAGGAGATACAAATAAAGGTGAAGGCTAAGAAGGAATGTTGTAAAGCCTTATACAAGGATAGGACCGATGAAAATGGTGAAAGGTATAGAAAAGCGAAGCAAGAGGCGAAGAAAGCTGTGAGAGAAGCTAAGTTAGCGGCTTATGACGATATGTATAAGCGACTAGATACCAAAGAAGGAGAGTTGGATATCTATAAACTAGCTAGAGCAAGGGAAAAGAAGACAAGGGACCTAAACCAAGTGAGGTGCATCAAGGATGAGGATGGAAAGGTTCTTGCTACAGAGAACGCGGTTAAAGACAGATGGAAAGGTTATTTTCATATAATCTTTTCAATGAAGGACATGAAAGGAGTGCTTCTTTAGGGGAGTTGAGTAACTCAGAAAGAGTGTAGAAACTACTCTTTTTTATCGTAGAATCCGGAAGGAAGAAGTGGTTGTAGCTTTGAAGAAGATGAAGCATAGAAAAGCAGTAGGCCAAGACGATATACCAATCGAAGTGTGGAAAGTTTTGGAGAGACAGGGTATAACATGGCTCACTGACCTTTTCAATAGGATTTTGAAAATGAAGAAGATGCCAAATGAGTGGCGAACGAGCACTTTGGTGCCTATCTACAAGAATAAGAGCGATGTACAAAATTGCATGAACTATAGGGGTATTAAGCTAATGAGTCATACAATGAAGCTCTGGGAGAGAGTCATTGAGCATAGATTGAGGCAATAGACACGGGTTTCGGACAACCAATTCGGGTTCATGCCAGGGCGCTCAACCATGGAGGCAATCTATCTCTTACGAAGATTGATGGAAAGATATAGAGATGGGAAAAAAGATTTACACATGGTCTTTATAGATTTGGAAAAAGCGTATGATAGGGTCCCAAGAGACATTCTTTGGAGGATTTTAGAGAAGAAAGGAGTACGAATAGCATATATCCAAGCTATACAGGATATGTATGAAGGAGCAAAGACTGCCGTAAGAACTCATGAAGGACAAACCGAAAGCTTTCCCATAACTGTAGGATTACATCAAGGCTCATCCTTAAGTCCTTACCTTTTTGCGTTGGTAATGGATGTGTTAACAGGACATATTCAAGATGATATTCCTTGGTGTATGCTTTTCGCAGACGATATAGTGTTGATAGATGAAACTCAGGAAGGGGTAAATGCAAAACTTAACCTTTGGAGAGAAGTGTTGAAATCTAAAGGTCTTCGCCTAAGCCGATTAAAGACAGAATATATGGAGTGCAAGTTCAGTGCAAATGGAGGCCAAAACGAGTTAGGGGTGAGGATCGGAGATCAAGAAATACCAAAGAACGACCGTTTTCGTTACCTAGGATCTATCTTGCAAAAGAACGGAGAATTAGATGGAGATCTCAACCATAGAATACAAGCTGGATGGATGAAGTGGAAGAGCGAATCCGGCGTGTTGTGTGACCGCCGTATGCCACTGAAGCTCAAGGGAAAATTTTATAGGACGGCAATAAGGCCGGCGATGCTGTATGGCACAAAATGTTGGGCGGTGAAGCATCAACACGTACACAAAATGGGTGTAGCGGAGATGAGGATGCTTCGTTGGATGTGGGGGCACACGAGAAAGGATAAGATTAGGAATGAGAATATCCGGGGTAAAGTAGGAGTAGCCGAAATTGAAGGAAAGATGAGAGAAAATCGGTTACGGTGGTTTGGACATGTGCAAAGAAGGCCTACTGACGCTCCAATTAGAAGATGCGACTATGGGACAGAGGTTCAGGGCCGAAGGGGTAGAGGAAGACCTAGGAAAACTTTGGAAGAGACCCTAAGAAAAGACTTAGAGTACTTGGATCTAACGGAGGACATGACACATGACAGAACACAATGGTGTTCTAAGATTCATATAGCCGATCCCACTCAGTGACTTGGATTTTCCAAGTCTCCAACCGAGAAGTTTTCCTTACTCGGGAAATTAAGGGAACACTACCTCAACCTACATGCTCCACTCACAAAGCTTCAACAAAAGAAAATTCAAAGAACTTAGCGAAGAAGGCTTTGGTGTATTTAACACAATACGTTGAAATGAAGGAAAGCTTATTTATTGATATCCCCGATAAGTTACAAATATGTATATATACTTGAGTCAAAATAAACAAACAAGAGGGAGCCTTCACAAAGGTTGCTTAGGAGAAGTCTCAGCAGTCGGTAGAGCCCCAGAAAGAGAAGGCACCGGAGGGGGATCATTCGGAGCCTCAGTACTAGACAGAACCCTAGAAGGAGGAGGCATCAGAGGTTGATCATTTGGAGCTTCATTACGCGGTACAACCCCAGAAGACGAAGGCAATAAATGCCTTTGGAACAAACCTACAAATCTCTGATGATCAAGTAAAACCTGACTATTAGATTCCTTCATCTGGTCAAGCTTCCTCTTCATGTTTGTAGCATAGTCATGTGCGAGCCGGTGCAACTGTTTATTCTCATGCTTGAGCCCTCTAATCTCCTGTTTGAGACTCATCACTTCAGCCGCCAATGATTCAACTTGGCGGGTTGGAGCAAATAGGCGTTGGGCCATATTAGACACAGAACTTGCACACTGAACACTGAGAGCCAGAGAATCCTTAACAGCCAACTCATCAGACCGTTTG